ATAATTAAAATAATTACAACTTTACAAAAAGAGAGAAGTTGCCGATCTTGCCCCTATACCCGGGGCAACTTCGTCAATTTCTCTCTTCTTGTAAAGTTGTAATTATTTTAATTATTTTTATTTCCAAACTGATTTTAACCAGTTCTATAGTAAGGTAACATTCCAATAGACAATATGCAAAGCTTTTTTTTCAGTTTACAGCAGTATTTATTACACAAAATTTAATTAAAGCTTAACATGCCGATCTTGCCCCGATCTCCCCTAATTACAAAGGGAATTTTACGTAAGGGTTTATCGCACCGAGTGACCAATCTTACACCCTTCAAACATTCTTTATTCCTCTATTGACACAATTTAAAGAATTTTTAAAATGTGTTAGATCGATGGCTCGGTGCGATAAACCCTTACGTAAGATAACCTTTGTAATTATATAAATCAAATGCTATAATATAATATAAAAGAAGGATTGGAATAACGAAATAATCTAATAATCTTAATGTTTGTTGTTATTTTTTGCCCGGACAAGGCCGGGCTGATCCGCTGGTATTTCTATATTTTGTAATCGCGATGTGTTTGGACGTTCGGATGGCTTTTCCTCCTCTACCTCTTGTCGTATAACGAATTTAATAAAATATTTGCCAGGGATAATCGGAAAACAAGAGTACAAAACCAGCTAATTCGAGTAGGTATTTATTAGATGAATACAGAATGACTCGGGCGAAAGACTTCCGCGTACTGTACACTCGCTACTTCTCGACTTAGTTTCTCATCCGGTTCGGACACTTATCCCAGGGCTCCGCGAGGTTGGTAATACCCGTCTCGTAGAAATTAGGGCCCCGTTATCGAAGCAAAGTCCTTACTTCGTTCCGCGCATCCTCATTCGAGTGAAACCGGCGTCCTCCTAGATGTTTCCGCCGAAGAGCGAAGAGGCGGTAACCGCTGGGAGCGAGATCCGGACTGTACGCTAAATGTGGGAGCGCATCCCACCCAAAACTTGCCAGCGCGTTGCCCGCCAACAGTCGGCACCAATTCTCCATATTATTGCCATTCGTTACCGCTTTCCCACGCGCGGCAACCGATTCGCCACGAATTTCCCCGGCGATACACGGGAAACGAACAACAGATGGCGGCTCTTCCAGTCTTCCAAGCTTAATGACTTCCGCGCCTTTTGTCGAAAATTTGCAGGGAGGTTTGTGTATTAGAGACATCGATGCTATTAAATTTTGATGGTTAAAAGTCGAGCGGGTAGAGAGATAGAGGTGGGAATATAAAATGAAACATAAATTTACAAAAATATAACAATAATAAGCTGTAAATTATTTATAAACGATTACAGTACTTTGATGACATTTACGCTTTTCATAAACCCTATACATTTTTAAACAATAAGAAGAGAATAATTTATAATTAACTACTTTAAATTTCATAAATTATACAATTTCTATTGACGCTATAATTCATACGTTAGAGATAACGTACAGTACGATGTATATATATATGTATTTTGTAAGCTATTTATTTTCATATATCTTTACTGATAGTACCATACAAAATGTTATTCTTACAATTAGCCGTACAATTTGATAAGTGTTTCGAAGTGGTAAGAAACATTTAAAAATTTAAATGCGCTTAAAATATAATAGCCAAATAAAAATTAAAATTAAATAAGGCCTAAAGAAAAAATACCGTTAATTAAATATGTTTATAATTTAGTTAATTTACAATATTTTCTAATTATATTATTAATTATAGTAAAGCAGAATATTATAAAAATATTCTTCTAGAATATTAAATATTCTTTATTTTTAATATTAAAAAAATTAAAAGTTTTTACAATATAAATAATCAAACTAATAAACTGAAAACGGATTCTTCGAATATTAATTAATTTATTAACTTTTTTAATGACAGAATGAAGAAGGAATTGAACTCGGAAAAAGGAATTACGGTTTATAATTTACTTTCCGTCAGAACTTTATGCGACAAGTTTTGGAGGAAAACGAAAATTAAAGTGTCAAATGCGATTCTAAAAATGAACAATGCGAATTACGCTAAAGAGAAGCGTAAAAAACCCGAAAATCGGGGAAATAATATCGAATGGTTACGAGCGATGGCCGAAGCTATGAGAATTGCCAGAGAGAAAGAGCAACAAAGACTTAGAAGAGAACTAACCAAGATGGCAATTCGAGCTAAAAGATGATATATATTACTTAAAATATTTGAATTTAATTACGACCAGTTAAAAAGTTAAACTAATTCGTTTAAAATTTAATCGAGTGATTATAATAATTGATTTAAGTAATTGCGATTTGCCATATTCGATGGTTATTATAAGTAATAAGATTCAAATTATTACCAAGCTTTTCCCGAAATTTAATATTATTTAAGAATTTTTAAAACCCATTTTTGTACATTTAAACTCGATCTGGGCCGCTAATAATATTAAGTCGTGTCCGAGGGATTTGTTTAATATTTTAAAATAATTTAATTAAATATAAAAGGTTAAGAGTCGGTAATTTAAGGATTTGCAAATATCGTATGTAAAAACTATAAATGGTTGATATTTGTTAGAAAATTGGAAATAAAATTCCGTTTCCTCAATTCTTGGACTTTTTTCTTTACTCGGTCTGATTTATTACGCGCGCACTATCGGCGGATTCGCCGATTGGTTCATTTCAACACGCGACTAGTTCGTGTTACCGTAGACGGTAGATACAGTCAATTATCCCCAAAGTGTCGGAAAAATTTTCCCGAATTAAGGAATTTTATCGAAAAATTCCCCGTAATAACGTCGCTATTACGGATACAATTTTAATCATTTCGATACTCGTAAACATGCGCTTTATCAGTTATGGATTTTTACTTAATGATTTAATTTTCTTCTATAATTTGAAAATACGTAAGATACCTAACGTGTAAGCTAGTTAGAAGGAAAAACATACATCGAACTGTATTTTCAGTTTATATTACTTCATTTAAAATCCTAATACGATTGCCAGACGATTCAGTCGATTCATAACAGATGTTACGGACAAAGCGATTAATCGGGTATTATTCGTAATGTCTGGTCATTACGAATAATTACCAAAAAGGGCGCGCGGTGTCATAAATATTGATTAATTTATCAAATTGACCGGTCATTACGAATACTACTATCACCTAGTCGGGCGAAGTGATAATAATACGTTGAGGAATACGTCCGGCATACGCTAGCCAATTGGCACCGACTTGTCGATTGTATCGTGGAATGCGTATCGAGTTTAGTACTGAATTTTAAATTGCGCGACATTTTAATTTCATTAAAAATACAGTCAACCCCCTATAACACTGTTGATTTTTCTGTTTTATATGAACTCCATGTTATACGAGTCACTTAGATTTTACAAATATGTGAGCCATTCACAGCCGGGCACACGTATTTGTAAAATTTAAGTGACTCATACAACATGGAATTCGTACAAAACGGAAAAATCAACAGTATTATAGGGGGGTCGACTTGTACTCCACTTATTTCATTTAGAAATATTTATTTTTTTGTGAATTATTTCAAAGTATTTTAAAAAGAACACGCAATCTTTTAAAACTAAGTACAGTACATATTAACTTTAACTATATTAATTAAGTGGTAAAATTTTACCTACGTGCACCGTCGTGGCGGCGGTCGCGACTGTTTGCGCTGCCGACGGAGGGGAGCCGCCGGCAGGCCGCGTATTGTTTAACGTCACTATATATCGATACATACTAGTTATTGATACGCGGGTTCAAGAACTACCCGTGAATCAATATCTAGTGACGTTAAACAATACGCGGCCCGCTGGCAGCACCCCTCCGGGAGGAATCCGTCAAAAGCGCAAACGGTCTCGACCGCCGCCAAATTCGGTACTAAACGCAACACGCACGCGCAACTCAGATGCGAATGCTGATTGGCTAGCGTATTTTGGACGATCACTCTTCGACGCATTATTATGATTTTGCCCGACTAGCAGTATTCGTAATGACCGGTCAATTTGATAAATTATTGAAATTTATTACAATGCCCGATTTTGTTGGTCATTATTCGTAATGATCGGGCATTACGAATAATGTCCGTATTAATTACTTTGTCCATAACACAGTGGCGTAGCGTAGTGGGGCGGCAAAATTTCGCAATAAATAATAATAACGTCTTGTAAAAATTTGAACCATTCTAATCTATACTCGTGTCGCGCCTACGATAGTGATATCGTCCGGACAGTCCGGGAATCGGCTCGCCGTCCGGGTGAACTAGTAATTTCATCCGAGCATATCCTGCGGAACCTCTTGACCATTTTTGTTTTATTTTTTTGTTTTTTGCTCGTATGTTTCATTCGTATTCGTATACACCACCAATATTCAATAGAGCTACTTTAAACAGGTAGCTGAACTAGCGCGGAATTTTTCGTCGCTTGTTCTGTGATAAAACTGAATTTTAGTCTTTTAAATCGAGATACCTAAATAAGGGGGGGGGCGAAATTTTCCTCGGGCCCGGGCGGCTGACACCCACGATACGCCACTGCCATAACATATACATTATGACAATAATAAACCAAATACAGTACCGTACCGTAATTACGTTCTCGCGCTTTAAATATACAGCGAGAATATGCGAGGACCCAAAAACGGGTTGAAATTAAACATTTATTATTAGAAATTTATTAAAACGAAACTAGAAAAAAAATCGTTTATCGTTAAAAACCGATCAAAGATCGAATTAGTTGTTGTGTCAATCTTTAAACACCAGTATTAAGTACTATTAATAAATAATGTCCAAGTAGACAATTAACAATAATATTAGAATTTAAAAGGACAGTAAGGCTTTTAGAATTACGAATTAGTTGTTCTAGTCATACGAAACCGCGACGAGAGAAAAAAACGTTATCGATGTAAACAGAAGGCAATAATTATAAATGATTAATAATTGTTAACGAACGACGTCCGGTAGAAACGGACCTTTGACGAGTCGCTCGTATACAAATAATTAGAACAGAAATTTTGAAAAGGAGAAAGATTAACGACGAAAAGGGACGTGGCGTCGGGTCGTTAAATTTCAAAAACGTCACAGACGAGACAACAATGGCGGAAAATACGAGCGCGAGTTTCCAAGTTCCATCGACATTTTGCGTCCAGTGTAACGGACGGTGTCGAGTAGATTCTTCGAAGAGGATCTTTCCGGTGGCTCCAACGGGAATCGTCTTTCGCTTACTGTTAGAGACAGACGAGAGACCGATCGGGCAGCGAGAAAAAAAGGGAGGCGGAGCCAATCGGAAGAAAACAAAACAAAGAACGGAGATTGATATAATCCCCGATCTTGGAAGAACAGATTCGCTTTCCGAAAACTGCGCACCCGCGCGCGGTTAGTCGAGGCGAAAAAGCAGTTTTCCGTGCGTGGCGCCCAACCGGTAACCCGCGACTACGGACTCGGACCGACGAATCTCCGCACCCGCCGTTGCCCCGGGGCCTTCCTTCGAGCAACATTAGCGACACCGTCGACAATTCGAACCTCCAATTGTGTAAATAACATTTTCGTTCCTTGGTGTAAGTTTACTTTTACGTTTAAAATAAACGGGTTTTTGTGATATTCTCGTCATCCGCGTCTCCTCCGCCACACCCACACGCCAACGACCCTAGATCGTCCCGACGCGGGATTAACGATCTCCCCCGGAAGTCGGCGAACTTACAAATATAAAAATTCTTAAATTTCCACCGCTTTATTACATCTTGGCAAAGTCTTTGGCTTATAAATACAGACACTTGGATCATATACTTATTTAATTATTTTAGGGAATTATATGAAACTATAAGTCGAATAACTAGTATCGACCGGTAAACCGAGTAATTACTCCGAAGTACAGTACACTTATAAGCATATACATACGTTTTATTTATACAAAACTTTCGTTATAACCAATTTATAACTGTTCATTTAAATTATTTTTAATTTTTTTCTTTGTTTTCGTGTTATTAAAAATGTCGAAGCGATAGTAGATTCCCAGTGTAACGAAATATTTTAAAAGAAATCTTTAGGCATTACGACGCGTTTCGCGTATCCATATAAGTCTATGCGTTTTCCTTTACGAATATTTTGTCCAAAGTTTGCCATATTTTTTGGCAGATTATAGAAATTATAACACCTTACCCAAGTATAAAGTAATTTTTATGTAAAAATAATGAAGAATCGTAGAGATTTTCATTATCAAAATATATGGCAAAAAGTAGTATAAAATACAAAGACTTATGTGATTCCGAATACAAATATTCTTATAAATTTCATTTGTAGTAATTAAATCGATAGTTTAAGTCTCCGGATATTCAATTTTATTTTAAAATACTGTATCATTTTTCTAGCCGTGTCTATTAAACGCATTTTTTGCATACAGTTTAATTAATATTCCGTTATTCATTTATTATTAACTTTATATAGTAACGATGAAAATGAAAATTGCTTTTAATTTTTTACTTTACAATACGTAATAATAATAACTTTATAAAAAGATAGCGATTGCCAAAGTTGCTCCTATACCGGGGGCGAGATAGGCGGGTATATAAATTTGTGCTATTAACGATGTATAAGTCGCGATTCGCTATTAAAATAAAAAATACCAGTCCAAAAACCTATTTAATATTATTACAACGAAATGCGGCTTCAAAGACATATAAATAAATAACTCAATAAATTTAAAAAAATGCAAACAAAAATTAATTACAAAAAAAATCAAACAGATAATAAATGAAAACATCCTAAACCAGTGTAAAAGTCATATAAAAGCGTATTGTTTATTCTCTTATTCTCTACACGTGTCGCAAATAGATTGAACGTACTCATTTTCTACATCCGTACAGTTTATACCAGCCCACAGTTTACGTTTACGGCGCAATCTCCCGAGTAACGCCATATTCTTCGTCGCGATATACGCGATAAGTATTTTTACCCTCATTTTCCGGTTCTTTAGGACTTTTCTGTCTCTTTCTTTTAGTTAACTTCCAATCCGGATTCTCTAAAACCGTTTCCGTTCCGCCAGTTCCGGATTTTTTATTTTTATCCTCGGCTTCTAACGCGGCTTTACGTCGCCAATCTTGCCCCGCTAGTCACGATTTCGAAACATTAAGTACAACCCCGACAACAGGGTACCGAGCCACGCGAATAAGTTGAAGTTTTATCCTTCTAACGGGAAAAATAACTTTGGTTATGGCGGAATTATAACAAAAGCTGCCAATTCTATATAAATGGAAGCAAAATATTATAAGAAATTGAACGAAACAGAAAACTCGCTTGATAATTCAACTACGCTGGTTGGAGAACGATACAAATGCTACACTCGACGAGTCACCAATGAAACTCGACTACCTAACCTATAACCGCAGTCTCCTTTCGTTTTTAAAACAAGGCCATCGACAAACTCGCCCCGCGTGCCGATATAACTTTTGAGTGGTGATTATAGGGCCTATATATTGTACCGCGGGTCTCGTATTTTTACGTTTCTGTAATGCGTGATCGAATACGGCGCGTACCGCGCTGCCGCATTTTAAAAATCAGAAATACACCGCGGTCCTTTCCGCCTTTCGATTTGCCGTCGTCGTTAAGGATTAGGCTGCGACGCCTACAAAACCAAAGAATCTATTTTAAATAGTAACCCGTACATAAAATTATTTCATTTTCTAAAAGAATATAAAACCATCGTCCGTAGCGTATAGGTGCTAAGCAGACGCCTAAAAGAAAACATCCTAAGGAACGCCTTACCCATGACGTCGCTCGTCTATCGGCAGTTTGTGATGACGGGACCTTAAGCCGCATTATTCTTCCAAACAACGTATTAGGGAGATTGTAACCGAAGCTTTTGTGGATACATTTTATCGTCTGTACGTTGGTCTTCCGCCAACAAATGAAAAGAGTACGGCGGAGACTCTCGGTACAGAGAGACGAGACGAACCGGGGAAGACGACGACCGACGGACGTTAATTTAACCGAGATCGGGGTGGACGAAACGCGCGTAGAGATTCTCGTCTCCGTAGACATAGACGGCCAGTTCTTCCATAGACGTTGCGAAGTTGGGTGGCGCGTTGATTGCCAGTCGCGATACTATAGTAGGAGATGCGGCAGAGAGAGAGATTCCTGGCGGATAGCGGACTCGCCGGAAGACGATCACCATCCCCGTCTTTCAAAACCCGGGCTTTTATACGTTTCTCCCGAAATCTCCATCTCTAGTAGGTCCGAATTAGTAGTTTCTCGCATCCCCGTTGGTCCCCCGTCCGTTGCCGTGGGCGCGATTTGTGTTGTCGACCACCCTCTATTATCCCCTCTACCGACCGCTCTCCTCCAGGGTAGGGTAACGCTCCTTCTCCAGCGATTGTCCCGTAAATTAAATCTTACCGCACTCCGCCTTCCCGGTTCCGTTTGCAAGAATAAGTCACCCGTTAATCGACGTTGATTGGACGGCCCGTCTCCCGTCGACCAGCCAAGTCCCGGCCTGGCGGCACTCCCCTTTTTAAAAAATGACGCTTAATCGGGAAGCGGCTTCCGAATTGCCAGTCCGCGCGTTGCTCACTGGGATAACAGTGCCGCCGCGACGTTAAGTAAGAGACGAGAGTCCGAGTCACGTCTTACCGGTTGCACGAACACGTTTTCGAGAAACGGTTACGAGTGATGGATCATTCGAAGCGGTCGAATAAAGTTCATACTCCGACAATTCGAGTCCGGTAAACCGAACGCGTGTTAGTAACCGTACCACAAGTTTCGCATTATAAGAATTGAGTCGTAAACCGAATACGTATCAATGGACATAATTGAGTTGTTACCTATTCTAATCGAGTATAATGAGTAACGTATACCATATATTAATTATATCGAGCATCGACGAGTACCGTACTATTACGGAACGAAAATTGCAAACACGTACGAGCCATTGATAGCGTCGCATTTTCTTTCTCTACGAATTCCGTTTCCCGAAGAAAAATAGTTACGGTAGTGTTTCTCGCGCTTTCCCCCTATCGAAAGACTGACGTCGACGGGCATGAGGTCGGCTGACCCGTCTGTTCCGCCGACATCCTCGCGACTTCCGATCCGAAAGCCAGGTCTCTCTCTGACCCATTTTCGGAAGACCACGCGCTTTCTCGCAGCTCGGGTTTAACTCCCCCGTCCACGCATCTGACACGGCGTTTTCTCTTTCTCTCGAGAACTCTGTCGCACCGTTCCCTGCGGCACTCGCCTTCTTTATACTAGGCCGAACAGCGTCTTGGCCAGAGATTCTGCGCACGTTATATCGGAGAAAGGTAAAGAAACGTCCCTAACCCCAGACCTTACGTGTGGGTTGTGAAATTCCGACGGTTACACCCCATCGTCGGCAGCCACCCCTGCCACCCCGTATTTAGAATGGTTCATTTATTTACTCATTGGAGAAACAGAACCGACGTCGTCTGGCCGCGGTTTCTTTGGAGTAAGACGGAACTTCTTGGACGCTCTTCCAGAAAGTGGACCGAGCGCGCCATCGTCCATTTTCCCCCACAATACATCCGTACGACCACTAGACAAAAAAACACGCGGTTAGTCTAACTTACCAGAAAGAAAACTTTTATTTTAACTTTTCTCAAAAACGTACTTAAACCTACAAATAAGTAGAGCAATATATATACGCATATGTATGGGCGCATCGTGTCCTCTTTTTCGCTTTTTATTTTTATTTTTTTCAGTGGCGACTTTTGGACTTTAGAGTGACGTACTATTCGGAATAAAGGACCCTCGGGACCTTTATTCCGAATAGTACGTCATTCTATCTCCACCCGGAACCTGGTTCTGGCGGATGTCCCGCAAGGCGGCGCCGACGGTCCTCTGAGAGCCCGAAAGATGGAGGCCACGGCCCATCCCGAGCGAGGACTGGAGATTCCTCTCCTCGGACTGGGTCCTCGGAGGTTCTAAACTTTGGTGACGGTATCCGGGGTCCCTTCCTCCCCTGCGGGTCCCGAACAGGTTGAGAGCCCTGAGTTCGGCCCTCACCTCCTCCGGGATAGGCTCCCCCACCGGGAGCAAGACGGAAGTCGGCTGCCCTCGGGCCCTCAGTGACGCGGCCCTTCGTATTATTCTTTTCAAACAGCCTGTTCGTCCCCACTCGAGGTTCGTTTCGGCCAAATCTCCTCCGTTCCCGAGGGGCTCCTCTTCTCGGTGAGGCAGCTGGGCCGGGGATCCGGACTCCGTGGATTGGGCGTCGTCTGCGTCGCTCGTCTCCTCAACCGAGTCGTTTTCCTCTTCCCCTCGGGGCCTTCCCGGGATATTCCATTCCTCTCCGTCGATCGGCTGGACCGACATGGTGACGGACAGCGCCTGGTCGTCAGCCAGCGCCTCCGCCACCCAGGAGATTACGATCATGCAGTCCCCGTGTTGCATGATACTCGGTAGATCTCCCACTACCCATCGGGGTGTGTCTTCAAATGTGTAAGTTTGATTTCTCCCGGCAAGTTCGATTCGGCCGCGGAATCGCCTGGCCTCCCCTTTGGGACCCAGGTATCGGAGAAGCAGGTATATGAAGTGGTAACTTCGCCCTTCCTCCGATTCCTCCTTAATCGCTTGCCCCAGAAAACGGTGATTGCCCCACGCTAGTTGGGCGACCCAAGAGCACTTTCTCGGCAAGTGCCACCCAACCAGGAACATGGTCAGGACCGGGAGGTCTCCTCCTCCGATGTCCGGGTGACGCTCCGACAGGTGGGTCGGGATATCCCGGCATATGCCTTCCCACCAGCATTTCGGATCCAACACCGGGCAGGGGCAAGTCCGGAAGGCACAACTCCTCTCGTGCGTTCTCCGTTCCGTGTTACGGACGATCCTTCGGCACCCCCAATTCCGATACTTACACGGGAAGCCCAGGATCTCCGCCACCCGCTCCAAAGCCAGATTACGGTCCTGGCCCAACACGCCCCGGCAGGAGGGACACCTGTTCGTCCTGTTCTTGCAGCGAGCGCAAAGGATGTGTCCGGCCGCGCATTGAAATATGGGAGGAATAACTCGCTCCCAGCACACCGTACAATCGAAGATGCTGGCCAAGGCATCCACCATGGCCTCCAGGTCCGGTCCGTCCGTTCGGTTCCTACTGGTCGACGGCCTTTGTCTTCTGGTAGCCATCTCGTTAGACTAGAAGAGGTAAAAAAAATGCACTTGCAATGAAAATAATAGCAAAACATTCTTAATTTTAGATAATCGATTATTTTACTTTTCCGAGCCCTCACTTATTACATAATAAATTATATTAATATTCTATCGTTCTTTCTTTGAAAAGGGATACGAAAATGAAGCAAAACATATTTGTAAGCCGAAAACAGGAGATGAAAATCTAAACCAGTGTTTCTTAACGGGGGCGTTTTTCCACGTCGAGGGGGCGATTAGTAACAATTTATATTTTGGGGGCGAAAACAATTTTCTGGGCGAAATAGTAAAACATTAAATTAAGAATAATTAGATATTTTATTGGTTATATCGTACAATAATTAAACAAATAACATTATACTAGTCATTAGTCTATTGGATGCGGTACGCATTTGGCGTTAGCCTCGTCCCTCGGCATGGGAATTTTGTAGCCAAGGGGGCGTTACTACGTAACGGTTTTATCGAAGGGGGCGATACTACGTTGAAGGGGGTGACGTTTCGTTAGAGGTTGAGAAACATTGATTTACATTATACACAATTTAAAATTAATTTTATAAAGGAAGTTTGGAGTTCTAAATAAAACTATGTACTGTACAGTAGGTTTCTAAGTACTGTACAGCAGCGGTCCCCAACCTTTTTATCGCCGCGGACCGGTCAACGTTTGATATTTTACCGCGGCCCACTGAGGGGGGACGTTGATTGTTTATATTTTAGATTGATTTAATTTAATAATTTTAATTTAATTGTATTTAAACATGCCTTCAAAATAAAATATAGTTACACAAAAAAATAAACGTTAAATCAATGAGAACCCTGAGCTTGTTTCTTTGCAACAAGATGGTTCCATCTGGGGGTAATAGGAGACGATGACACCCGAAGTGTGTTTCTTATGTCCAGTTTATTCCGTTGTTCCGTCGTCCATTAAAAGTCGCACAAACCCGAGAGAAATATACCATAGTAAATAAAATGGAAATACCAGTAATTTAATGTTCCTTGGGCGGCCCGGTACCATTTGATCCACGGACCGGTACCGGTCCGCGGCCCGGGGGTTGGGGACCACTGCTGTACAGTACAGTACATACTACAAAGGTTCCGCGACAAACTATAGGATATCTATATTCTATCCTAATATTTTTGCATTTTTCTTTTTCCCGCGGTCCGTATAACGTACTGTACGTACCGTACAGTACGGTAGCGAGTTTGGTCAAACGGGCTGTAGACGGGTCCGAGTAGCGAAACTTTAATTATAACCACCCCGTATAATAAATATTTTTTATTAATAAAAATTTAAGATTTGTTTTAGTTTTTCGCCTTATTTACTTTCGTTTTATTTATTGTTTTATATTTTTTGCCCGCTCTATTTCTGGCGGGAGAGGGAGGGGACCCGGAAAGAAGAAAAGGTCTAGGGCCCCGACGGCGCTCGACGTGGCCTAATCCCCGACAATGGCGGCGGTAACGGGCTACGTCGTCGTTCTCGTCGGGCAGTATACTTAGTTTCTTGGTATTTTCGCGCCCGAGTGTGGCGAAATAATTTTAAGATATATTCTACCGTTATTTTAGGGACTACCGAGCTATCCCAAATATCGCTTCGTCGAAGAATTAACGCGTCCGATCCGCGTCTAAATAATAATTCGCCTCCGCGTTGGCGCTTACTTCCGGCCAGGAGGCGCCACTTAACCGGTGGCGTAGCGTAGCGGAGGCGGCAAAATTTGGCAATAAATAATAAAAATCCCAACCATTTTATCCCGCAGTCTGGTCGTACCTACGATTCGGACCGATGGAAACGAGGGCGGAATAGTCCAGTCGAACCGGTAATTTTAGCCGCGTCGTCTTTGCTCGTACCATTCATTTGTTTTCGTATACGCTTCCAATATTGGACGCAGCTATTTTAGACAGCGAGGAAATTTTCATTACTCGTTCTTTTGCTACGAAATATCCAATGGATTTGGCGGGTGCGCGTCCTGGTTACAACCAGCCTGGGCCAGTAATGGCTTTCGTTTCCTTTTCCGCTTGGAAAAATGTGCCTATCTTTATTCCCCTATTTAATTTAACCGGTGGCCCGTTCGTATTCGTTATTCTAACGGCTATATTCTCGCGTCTTTCGGTGGTTATTAACGCACGAATAAACCGGTCGGCGAAGGTAAAGGTTCGACCGCGCCCACTGGTCCGTATCTACTTCCGCCCACTCGTCCTTCTAGAATTACTTCCCATCCAGGAGGCGCGACGCCATCGTTCGAGAGCGCCACGTCACTTCCCGGAGAGGTAGTATTTCCTGGCCGTTGGTTTTCGTTACGTTTCGTTTTACGCATTCCCGATAATTGTTTGGTTTACCCGTCCATCCTCCGTTTATTATTACCGCTATATCGGGAATTATTTAATCGCGCCGCCTGGTTCTCCCAAGCTTTCGTTGGCTACAAGTATACCGTATTCTCGTCAATTCCGCTTCCGATCCGTTCCGGGCAATTATACGGCGGGGACCCGCCATTGGGGGCCGTTCGTCGTCGGACTTCCTTCTTCGTAAACGGCGGAGGGACGACGTTACCTCCGTACCGCGGGGTTAACGGTCCCGCCCGACATCTATTCTCCACGCGAGACGGAGGCGGACAACTTTTTCTCTCTTCGCTTCTCTCGTTGGTCGGAGACTTCGCCTCCATCCGATACGGACGACTGGACGCTACTCGCGCCCTACAATCCCATTAGCCAACGTTCCTAATATTTCGAGAGAAAACGCTTCCATTTTAAAAAAATTTTCTTACATCAATTACCGAACTACGGAATACGACGTTAATCTTACTTCCATACTTAAGAAGCAATTAGGCGGTGATATCCCAGTAGGCGCGCTTTTCTACCTTAGGTTATTAAAACTTTTATTCGTTAAGAGACAAACTGACTTTATAATCCGCAAAAATGTTATAAAACAAAACAAAAAAATCTTGGTGGAAACTACGCGCTCTCCTGGCCGCCTCGTCTACGATTACGCGCTCCGCATTTTCGAAAATTTTACAATCTCCTCGATTAAAATTCCGTACCGCGTTGCGCGCGCATATGACCCGAACGTGTATAATCGACCGAATAGAACGGTGACGTCGACCACGAAGACCAGATCGCCGCCGCTGACCAGAGACGAATTTCGTCCGTCGCTTCGACCTCATTCGTCGGCCAAAGAAGAGACGAGAGATAAGTGACCGGAATACGGCCCTAATTGCCCAGAAATTTCATTTATTGTCGCTCGGCCGTCGGACTCCTCCGTCTCTCCTACGCTGGAAACCGGGTGGCGCGTTTTTTCCCGTTAACCGTTCTATCGTCTCTTCCCTAATACAGATCCGTAGCGCTTCCGGGATGGCGCCTTGGTTTAAGCTACGCGAGAAATAAACGCCGAGCCAGGTACGGAAGAAATCCCAGAAAGTCCGTATCGTTCCCCAAAAGCCGAAAAAGCCGCGATACTTACCTGGACGTCCATCGTCCGATCCTACTAAGTCAATTTACCAGCAAAATTTCGATGCGGGCTCCCTCTAGGTCTTGGGCCGGACCGCCAAATTGCGAAAATTCCACTTTCCCACACCGGGGATAAACGGACGTCGGGATTTACGGGATGCGCGGACGGACGGAATCGAGGCGAATAAAACGTCTTACGTTCGACGAAACGTCCGGTCGACGGTGGGAGCCGATGGCTGGTAGAGACGAGTGTCGGAAGCCCGGCCAACGAAAGTGTGGAAAAAAATAGTCCGAAGCGGAATGGCCAAATCAGGGACCAACAGTTCGTACGTAGAATCCGGGCCGCCCCGTCTCTTCGCTAGTAACAATTTTCCTTACGGCGGTGACGGCCGTCCGCCGTAAGGAAAATTGCCTTATTCGCGCCGTTTCCATTTTTTGCCGCCGCCAAAGATTTTGGCGCTAGTTATCGGTGGGAAACGAATTTGTACTTTTGCGCGCAGTTATATCTATTATATGAAATTGCGACGATTACGTATATTTATACTTATTGGCCAGTTACGTACGGTCGACGGGACTTTCCCTTCTACGGCGGCTCGGTATATAGATATAAATGCATTCGTCGCGTACTTCAAATAGTAAAGGCGCGTTACGTCAGAAAATTGTTGCGCGTCTTTCTGCGCCTCGCACGCCGGATGTAAAACTCGATCCGAAGGATTAAAAGTTACGTTTCTCGAAATCCCGTCGAACCAACGACCGCGACGAGGAAATAAAAAAGGATCGACGAGGCTACGGAGTAGAGGGTGGGTTGCTCCTAGCCCGCATTTTGTGGAAAGCGATTATACTAGCCGAGCCTTCGAGTGGCCTCGGTACAACACCGAAGGCCGGCCGGATAATTGGCCACGCCAGACGGAGAAAAGATGGCGTCCGTCCTCGAGATCGGGGGGTTAGAGAATTCTTCCCCGGATTTCTCGCTTTCCGATTGGTCGGGCGGATAACGGATGGTTTCGGGTGGCCGAGGATCAAATTCGGCACCGCGATGGAGGAAAGATAATCAAACTTTGAAACTCGTACTCGTATCTTATTATTGTTTATAACCAATTGTTTACGATCTGGTAATTGCCAAACAATCTCCGCGCCGTATCTCCTTTTTTGCAGTTTTTCTTTTCTCTCGATTAAAAACTATTTATTCTTTCGAGTTTTAATTTACGGTCTTCTTTTAGTTTTTACCAGCGTTAGAATCGAAGCTCGATCCCTCTATTTGATACTTCTATTAAATTTTTAACGCGCGAGCTCGAGTATCGCTCGGGCCTGGCGCGCTCGACCAATAATAGGCTAATGGTAATTTTTTAAAACTTAGTCGGCTCTCGGCGGAATTCGATCCCGTTACGCGGGAAGGGGTAGGAGGGATTCTGAAAAGGAAGGAAATAAAGCCACTCGAAAGTTTCGTAGGATTCGTTCCTATCGAAAAATCTACGAGTCTGGAATTACGTAACGTTCTCTTAAACCCAGGTAAATAAAATGGGGTTACTCGTACTGTACAAAATATCGGAGGACGAGGCTACGACAACGGGTCTAATACGAAGGGCGTTCGCGCTGGACTCGGAACCGGGGTAAAAAAAAATAAACCCTAGAGCCTTTTACGCGCCGCGCGGTAGCCATTGGTTAAATCTTGCGCAGAACGATACGGCAAAATCCTGACTAGAAGCCGTAAATTTCTTTAGTGTAGTTCAAAAGATTGATGTATTTTTGCGCGATAAACTTTGCCAAGGTCTATTCTTTCGAAACGCGTAGATGGTGTGACCGAAGGGTCGACGGCGGATGGGCCACCACGACGCAGTTATCGCTCCACGCCAGCGATAGCGTACGTAAGCGGTCGGACTCGAGATTGACCATGTCCGAGAGACGGCGTGTCCGGAAGAACGCGCTCGACTTCCGATTTAACGTAAACAAAATACCCGTTTATTTACACATCTATATATATAAAATTGCTTGTCCTGACTGACTCATTCACTGATTCATCATCGTCCAGAGCAAACCGCTGAACCTAAAGAGGTGAAATTTAGTACACAGTTAGGGTACGTCGTAAAAACGCGCACTAAGAAAGGATTTTTCGAAATTCCCCCGCGGTGGGAGAGGGAGAGGATTAAGTCTTAACGGCTTCTACTGTACTATTTTACATGCGATTTTCTGTTTTTATCTGCGTTTTAGTAGGGTATACCATGGGAATGCGCACTAAGAAGGGATTTTTCGAAATTCTCCGCGGGGGGAGAGACGGAGGATTAAGTCTTAACCAAAAGAACGGCTTCTACTGTACTATTTTAGATGCGATTTTTTGTTACGTTTCATCTTCATTAAGTACTTAAGTGTGTTAAATTAATAACATTTCAGACATTGCTATAAATATTTTTATATATTTCGATTTTTTAACCAAATGTTCGAACCTTTTTAAATTATAGAACGATTGTAAACGTTCCAGAAAATTGATAAAATTCAAAATAGTTTGTTTGATTCTCGGCAATTCTCGTCATTCTCGGCGGTATGCGCTATATAACAATTACTATGGTTGTTGAAATACTGAATATAAATGGGGTTTGCTTGCAAAACCTCCGCGGGCCAAGTGGCGGGTAACAGCTAGTATACACATAGGATAATACATAGCATTTCCGTTATAGTTTCTATATAGCGTAACATAATTGATAAGGCTTATATATCGTAAAAGGTACCAACTATCGATGTTTCCTCTAAGCTGCGCGGTCGCGCACTGCTCAAATTGTTGCCGCGCAGGCGAGCGTGCACACCTATTTGAATTGTTGTTTATTTATTTCTCACTCTGTCCGCAACATGATTATTGTTGCGTATATTTCGATTAAATACATTAAATCATTGACAAAAGATAATATTTCGTATAAAAGTATGTTTTAAAATGAATTTTAATCTCTACAATTAATTGTTTTAATTTTTTTAGAAAAACATAAGATTTTATATATATATGCTCAGAAATTTGTTTTTGCTCAGAGAAGTATATTTTCCGCTCATCGACAAAAAAAAAAAATTAGAGGGAACATTGCCAACTATCGTAACGGGTCCCTAGCCGAGAGAGAGAGAGAGTTTACATTTACGCGCGCGATGCTAAATACCTCCCTCGATCGATGTCGGGATGTCGTAGATCGTCTCGACGAACGGGTGGCGAGATTTCCTCTCAGTCGAGGATACCAGTTACCACTTATTTTATTGTAATATGTCACCAGACATATATCAGTTCGAGGATATATTCAGTCGAGGATACTAAGATTCTCGGACGGTGCAGTTCGAATGTCCGGTAAGTACGGTATAAGCGAGTACTGTACAGTCTGGCCAACGGAAGGGATCGGCGGGGGGGCACGGCTGCTATACACTTTCGTGCCCATCTTTGTAAATGTTAAGTTTTTCGACCAATAGATGAATTTCTGTAGCCAAGTTCCCGGCGACACATTCGGAAGATGTGTCACCTGTGAAAGGAAGCAAATCCCGAAAAAGATACGATTACATCCTTCCATTTTTTATTAAGTGTTGGGAAATTTTTTTAATATAATATCGGAAATTTAAGCGTTATTCTTTTAAAAAATAATATAAAATTTCCATCTAGTCCGGGCTCTGACAATGGTTTAACATTAAAACTACTAAGTGACACGAGATGAGAGAGTCGAATAGAAGCAATAAAACCACTAAAGTATTGAATATTTATGACGCATTATACGAAGCTACAAATTTCGAACCGAATTAATCCTAGAGTGAATATGCCTCTTACGAGATAGCGAGGTTTTGGCCAAACTATTAACGGCAACTATTTGGCTCTAGTGTCTTCAGAAGCGTCTCGGCAACAGCTCCAAACGTGTGTCAGCGCGCGCTGGCCAGACGCGCTGTTAGAACGTGGGTGTGCAGATTTTCACCCAAGAACAAACCAAATTTTTTGACATTAAATGTTCACGAGGTATGTAACGACGTTATTATTACGCTAAATTATTTTAATTTACATTCATTGTATCAATTATACGGTCAATTTCACGATATTAGTACGGTACTATTGTTTTCTTTGTCAGCAAAAAAGTAGGCAGCCGTTTTGCAAAATTTGAATGTGTTCTCGATATGAGACACACGGGGGTTCCTAAAGTGAGATATCTCATTTCATACGTGAGGTGAAAGTATACGTATTAGTTTAAGTTCTTTTTTTTACATATTTTAGATGGCCCCAATTAAAAGGAAAACCTGGGATCACCGTGCCGCGATACGAGCCGTGGATGCGGTACGGAGCAATCAAATGGGTTATTTAAAGGCATCAAAACAATTCGGTGTTTCTAAGGGTACCCTAGAAAGGCCGGATGGCCGAGCGGTCCAGGTGGCAGCCTGTCGAATCCGGACGGGTCAAGAAATCCCCAGGAATTTTTCGGGGGGTGGTCCGTTCGGATACGTCGGGCCTCGTCCCTCACCACCCGGTCGCCCCATTGTGGGCCCGGCCAAACCCATAATTGGCCCGCTATAAGAGGCCCTCCTAATGCCCGCAGGGCGGAAAGAGTATAAAAAAAATTACCCGCTCCAGAAAAATCGTCCGAGAGGGCGGAAAACGACTGGCGGGAACAAACGAAAAGCGCCAATCAGGACGGAAATCGAAATCTCGTACCACGCTTGTAAGCTTACACTTTGCGATGCTTAGGCACTGCCGGGAAGTCCAACCAGCCAGACTAGCGATCTCGTCCAAGGTCCGGAAGAAGTCTGTCACTCCCCAGAGAATCCGGGTAACATCCTTACGAAGGCCGAAGCCGATCCCCCGAAACCGCTCGCTCTACGAGAGAGCGACTGGGTGTCCGACTCTGCGTCCATTGGTCCAGCCCCACTTACTTTTCCCAAAGGATATATAAACGAGTTTTTGTCGGGTTCTCGAACAAAATTTTGATTGGGACCGCGAGTGATCGCTTAGATCGCACTTTTCTATAGTAAGTCGCTACCCCACCATGGTCTGTCTTACGACGAAAGAGAAATATTCGCTCTTCCCGCGATCTGTCAGGATGACGCGATTTAAAATCGTATGGGAGTAGTTGAACCGAACACAGAGCTTCACACTGACACGGATTGACAGCGATACTCGCGTTTAATGAAACAATAAGATATGCTTACAAAAGAGTACAGCGGAGACTGTCGTACGGAAAGATGAATCGGTGAAGATGACAGACAGCCGTTGACCAAGATCGCAATGGACAAACGCACCTACCCCCTATTTCACCAACAGACGATTAGGCAAATCGCAGGATTAACAACTATCACTAATACAGGATTACTGATTTTGCGTTTCACTATTCTAAGATTAGACGTAATCTGGCATTAGTAACTAATCCACCAAATTCGGGCGATTAGTGTACTAATCTCGGCAAACNGAAAATTTTTTAGTAACGCTGGTGTCGAGATTATCGGATTCACTAATCCTGTTCTTAATATCTCGGGATTTACTAATCCTTCGCTAAAATTTGTTGGTGAAATCCTCGCGTCAGTAATCTCGGTATTAGTCTAATCGCTGGATTTACAAATACCACGATTAGGCAATGTTGGTGAAATACCCTGCTAGAGATGCCGATAGGTCCCCGTAGACACGGGTGGCGAGTTCTTCGACAAACGTTGCGAAGTTGGTTCGCGCGTCGATCGCAAGTTGCAGTAATGCCGGAGAGAGAAAGATTCCTGGGCAGATAGCGAATTCGCCGGAAGACGATCTTTCGATGACTATCACCACCCCCGTCTTTGAAAAACTCGGGCTTTTATACGTTTTCTCCCGAAATCTCCATCTCTAGTTGTCGGAATTAGTGGTCACCCCCATCCCCATCGGTCTTCCATCTGTTTCCGGGATGGCGATTCGGGTGGCGGGGGTGTCGATTACTCTTTATTACCCCCTATGCTGACCGCTCTCCTCTAGGGTAGGGTAACGCTCCTTCTCGAGCGATTGTCCCGTAAATTATCGACAATGTGTTTTTCTTCTGTCCAGAAAGGACGCAGCTGTGTGCGCGCGATCCCGGCCGCATCCCCCTCCGAGAAAGCGTTGGCTTTTTTCGCTTTGAACTCGGTGTTGGGTGACCGCAAAACTCTAATTGCTGTCACTCCTTTACCCCCCCCCCCGTGATCTACGACTGGGAATGTGACAATTAAATCTTATGGCATACTATTTCTCCGCGTCCCCGGTTCTGTTTGCAAGAATAAGTCATCCGTTTATTTACGTTGGTTAGACGGACCGTCTCCCGTCCACGGGCGAGATCCCGGCCTGGCAACGATCAGAAAGGGAAGACTAGCGTTGCCCGATTTGGCCATTTTTGCGCCAAATTGGGCTACTTTTTTCAGTTTGGCGTTAAAAAAAGCATTTGGCGCACTGGCTACTTTTTGGGCTACAAAAATTTGGTTCGGCTACATTTTGGGCTGGTTACACAAATTATTTCATCCTTTGTTTTGCGCCTAGAACGGTAATACCTGTGCGCTGTCTACTCGTTTTGTTTTTATATATAGTACACGTATTAGCAGACCCCGCCACGCGTTATTGTGGCTCAAAATGTATCTATTATAAATGTATAACACTTACCCGTTGGGGGAATTTTTCGAAAAATCCCTTCTTAGCAGGGGCGCCGTTAGCTGTTTGAACGCCCGTGTGCAATACCGATTATGCCGCCCCCTGTTTAAAACTAGTTGAGAGTCTTTCCTCGTAACATTATCAATTACATCTTTTATAGCTGGTATTATAATCTCTTCACCAATAGTACTGTATACGGTTTGCCTTTCTTTGCAATATTAAGAGAGATGCTGTAGTCTTTCGTCCTCCTTCTCTATCAACACTAGCGGATGACTTCAAATACAGGTAACACCCGTATAACGCGGCACTTCTATAGCACGGATTCACTCTAACACGGTTTGTGAATTGGGTAAAACCCTGGTACAACATAAAATGTAATAAAGGGTGCGTTCTTTTATACCTCCGCGTAACTCCGCGCGAGCATTCTAGTTGCTTTCGTGGCTACTTGGAATGCTCTTTCAACAAATAATTCATTTAATGGTTAAATTTTACAATTGGGACCCTTTTTTGCCTCTAAAAGCTCATTTTAGAATTCTAAAATGCGGGCGCCGCCATCTTTCTTTTACCTTCGTTCCTAAATGTCTACAAACAGCGACGCACTCCCGTTGCGGTGCGACCGCTATTAACGAACGCACCCACAAACTGTTACCAGTTGACCATGTTCGTGCTGAGATCATCATATAAAATGAATAATCCTATGGTAAAATATTTACTTAAATAAGTATTTTACCTATGAAAAAAATGAATAATAAATGCTTAACATATACAGTAATGTTTAACGACATGTTTTTTAATTTTTGGAACCTAACCCCCCCTTTTCGCACTAGTTTCGTATAACACGGATCCGCGTAACACGGCAATTTTCTGGAAGGTAACTCCCGTGTTATACGGGGGTTACCCGTATGTATTCAAATTTGGCCGAACTCTCAATTTCTCTTGTAGTATTTTGAAATACTCAAAATCTTAGTTTTTCTTATCAGAATGGATCCTTTCCAAGTGGTTTTTCATTTTCGCCGGCTTCATAGCATCATTGCCGAAAGTTTTTTTTTCACATAATAAGCACCTAGGAATAGTTTCATTAGCAAACGATGGCACAAAACCATATTTTTCAAATACTCCCGTGAATATTGTCTGCATTTCTTCTTAGCATTGGTAGCCGACATTGTGGGTATTAAAATCAGATTTTTAATACGAAAAACGCAATACGTTTGCGGCACAACGAAACAGCAGCAGTAAGAGACATAACTTACTTAGGTGCGACTAAATATCCAGATGGCACAACGCGCCGATTGGTCGGCCGAATGACGTCAACCTACCGGAAATGTCGATCAATTAGCCTAAACTTCGTAAGAGTTTGGAGAGCGGGCAGACGTTATAATTATAGACATTTCGTGTAAAACTCGATAAAAGGCACTTATTTATAATTTCACTAGCTCTTACGTGTATCGACATTAATGTTAAAATTATTGCAAAATTTTCAATTAACCTAAATTACGTGATATCGAAGATTTTAATGTCGAGAGAGTTTTAAACATCAAGAAGTAACTTTTATCTGTTTTTCATTTCAATAAATCATTTTTGTACATTTACTATAATAATAAAATAATCAAAAACAACAAATATAAATTGCAAATTAAGTTCTTTTTTACATTCTTTATTAGACCATACAGTATTTTTAACCTTACAGAAACTTGTATTTAACGTTTTATATATATATTACAACAGAATAGGCTAAGTGGAAATGCAGATTAGTTAACAATTTAATATAATTTTCACCTAAACATAATTCATAGTTTTTAACGCATAATTGTTAAAACATTTTAAATAATAAGTTATTTTTTTTCTACAAATTCTCTAATTCATTGGTTGGCTTTTCTAATCAAATTCCGCGGAAACTTAATTAAATATAGACACCGAATATCGCTTGGCTTTATATTTTCCTAGACAACGCGAACAAAAATAAGCTTACTACGAAAACATTACGGTACAAACGCGACATTACTTCTTCTCGGCACTTATATCGATAAACAATTTCCACCACGAAACGCGACTTATTTAAAACATATTCGGAGGAATTTAAATACTTACGGTGTTATTGATTGTTAAATAATTTATACAAGAATTCTGTACTTTTAATTTAAAAAATGGTCGTACGAATTTGATTAAACATATTTACAGATATATCTATTATGGAACTGGGTACACGAAATTTCTGTAAATTTGAAAAGTGTCGTTTCTTAACGCGCAGATTTTGAACCGACATTCAAAAGCGCAAAATATCTATCGACACAAAGAACTGTCGATCCTAACTAAAGCATTAAAAATTTTTTCCCATCAGAGTAAAGGCCTATTCTTTATTCAAAATTGTTCGACAACTGTTACATCTAAACTTTATAATTTGTTAAGCCAGATTTATAAAAATTTCTCTTTCGGAGGTATACAAAACTTAGCTAATTTTATCGTTTCGTCTAACTATATTAAATGCGCGTGACAAATTCAAAAAATAATCTGACTCGTCTTAATTATAAATTTCGTCCTTTCTCGAACTATTTATAAATAATATCTGTAACAAATTATAAATTTTCTGTTATTCGTTATCTGCGCGCGTATATTTAAATTTAAAACACCAATCGTGCTATTAAAATTATCTATAGTGCGTGATTTGGTTCGGAAGTACGCAAAGATCGAGTATGAAGTTAAAATTCGTTCAAAAAAATAAATAATCTTAGTAATTTATTAATTAAGTAAAAGTAAACCGTATTAAAATTATTCCTATAAATTTAAGAAAACGTGCGAGCTGAACTTTATACTGTATTTTCGCTTTATACTCAATATTACAACTAAAAAAATAATCTATTTCCGCGTCACTTCGTTCCGACCACCACAAAATATAATCCACCGGCATTTCCTATTTCGGTGGGTTGACGTCATTCGGCCCACCAATCGGCGCGTTGCGCCATCTGGATATTTAGTCGCGCGTAACTTACTTCCGCACCAGCTATAAAGAACTTCCTGTTTATTCTCAGAGTTCGTGTTGCCACATTTTGCTAACAATAGATATTTACAATTGGAAGGAATTATAATTATTCTAAACTATTAAACTAAAGATATTAATAAATGTACGTGATTTTTTCATACGAACATAATAATAATTTGATTTTTGGTGAATTTTTAAAATAATATCGCCTGACTGACTTATATTGCCGTTGGACAGTTTACGAACTAAACGCAAACAAGATGGCGGTGGTAAAGGGTTAATTGATCCTCTTTGGTATTAATCGACCACTTTGGGGACCCCTAGCTTAGAATAAACCCTGGATTACCCTAAATTGAGAAAACTGTCCACCATCATCCAGCTCGCGCTCGAATAAAAAAAATAAGACCAACGGTTCTATGACGCGGATCCTCGTGCTATTATTGCGAAATAATAATCGGAACAATTCTTAATTCATTGTTTTTGAAAATTTAGTAGGTCCGCTGCTCATTTAAACTCAACGGTTTGTACAATATCCGCTATTGGTCTAGATTCGACCAATCCTGTCGCGACACGAGTCGGCGATGACGTTTTATCGAATTATAGGAGTTTTTTTAGCGTGTTTGTACGAATACTGACGCAATTTTTTCGCCGTCATATAGGAATCCGAACTATATGAACCCGTGTTATAGGAGGGTGGACTGTATTTACTTATCGAAAAATTTTGAGTTACTCGGAAATATCTCTTTATTTTTTCTATAAATTATCGTTTTCTATTACGTTTTTCAAATTGATTTCGAAAATGCAGAGTTATAGAAGAGATTTTTAATGCTTTCGTGGTGTACGCTTAAATGTAAAACGTCATAAAACGTGAGGCGATTCGATAGTAACGGTACGGATTCCATTCTCATTTTAGACAGACCCGGCGGCTTCTCTCGAGTGTACGGGTTCGCGATCGAAGTAGCTAGAGCGCGCGATACCGCTCCGAGGAATCCGACTTCGAAGCGGATCGAATCATCGGAATTTCTCCAGCGATCCGGCCTGGTTTTTTCCACTCGGCTGACGTATCGCGAACCAGTCGAATCGACAATAACCGTGTTTAAGAGTTCTCCCGGTCCTTCGAGATGGAAAAAATATTTAAAACAATTGGAGCGCTCAATGCCGTAAAGTTGTAAAAGCCATTTTTCTCTAAATACGTTTTATCGGAGCAATGTATTTCAGCCGCAAAAAAGTATTGGCGCCTTAGCGGATGTATTTTCGAGTCGAATTTATGCCAAGCCGTAATGGCATTTCACGCTTCAATTTAGGCTTTTTTTTTAACTCTTTCCGCCCTGTGGGCACTAAGAGGGCCTCTTTTTGCAGGTCCATTATGGGTTCGGCCAGGCCCACAATGGGGCTGCCGGGTGGTGAGGGACGGGGCCCGACATATCCGAACGGACCACCCGCCAAAAAATTCCTGGGGATTTTTCGGCCCGTTCGGATTCGAGCCCGGGTGCCCCAGAGCGGTAGGCTGCCACCTCGACCGCTAGGCCATCCGACCGCCCTTCAATTTAGGCTATAATTGAAGCGCGAAATGCCATTATGAGAATTTTCTTTATAGGCAATTCTCTTCCCATTTTTTTCTTTTTAAAAAAATAAATAAATTTAAGGAATTGATGAAAATTATGGAAAATTTAATAAATTGTTATTCCAATTTTTGCTAATTAAGCGAATAAATAAGTTGGCGAAGGTAATAAAATAACCAACTTCAGTAATATCCAAATAAATTCGATAAACTTCTCAATTAAATATTTGTTTATTCCGATTATTTTAATGGATATTATAATCACAAAGAAGAATTTTTGATTAAATTCGAAAAACGGAAAGAAAATTTGAAGGGGGGGGAAAAAGAATGGAATATCTGGCAAGCCGATAATCGCTATACTTTTGTTTATCGTCCAGTATGGCTTAAAATTTCAGTCTTTCGTTTTCTAATCGCCAATTGATTGAAAAATAGACTTCTATCTGCGTATATACCCTCGCTGGATGGAGAGGTGAGGGGCGTGCGTACACACATAAGTACCGTACGTACAGTACGTAAACAAAGCCGGGCATCGAAGACAAAGCGTCTACTCGGCGAGTGTAGTGTTGTTTACGAAGATTTTCCGGGCACTTTTTGTAACCTGTAAGTTTTTTGCTATAATTTACCGTGCATTTCAGTTAAATGAAGTAACGAGTGTTTCGAAAAGACGCTGGATAAACGGTGTTAACGCTTGATTCTGAAAAAGTAAACAAACGTTTGTGATTATGTGTAATATAAATGACTGTACTGTGTTTGCGAATGCTTTGTTCAAAGGTTATTCTTTCTCGCATAATTTTCAAAGCGTACAATAAAAAAAAAAAGTCAAACGACAAAAATACATATGTATTGTTTTTATTACAAATTAGGAATAATTTACTATTCATTTTTTTTGTTTAAAAATTCTGAAATTCAACAATTTGGATCAATGTCAATTTTTTTTTTTGGAATTTTAATTGTTCCTTTATTGCACTAAATTAAAACTAAGAAAAAGTATTTTAAGCTAATTGTAGAATTGATTCGATTTTTATAATTTGGGCCGCGTTTGTGCCTCGTCGTGCCCCGCGGGGCGAAAGATTTCGGTTTTTGGATTAAGCCGGACGAGATCGGTGTCTCGTCCGGCTTAATCCAAAAACCGAAATCTTTGCGGAAACGCAAATGATACGGAAATGCCGCCGGGCGAGATTAAAAATCGTAAGGTGATTGCCGACGTTTTATCGTTACCTTCGTTCTCGAAGAAATGTCGAGTTTTGTGTAAATCCTCCGATCCGATTAATCCGTGTTAGTGGAACTTGCCCGTATTCCGTGCGGACGAAAAGGGCCGTCGAGCGCGATATTTGTATTGTGCCGTGCGGTGTCGTGTATAGTATAACGACGTACGAAACTCTTCGTATAAAATATCGAATACGTTATATATAATTTTATACCGAAAGACTAAAATTAAAGATACTACGTATGTTAATATAACTATGTTATAATGTTTACGTGTGGCGTGTCGGTCGAAAGGAGATAGTTTTACTATCGTTCGGCTAATAAACGGCAAATTATTTTGATAAATACAAAGAAAGTTTTTTATTTTATATAAAGTATAAAAGTAAATTATTGTTTTTTTATATATTAAAAACATTTTTTTGATTATGCAATTAGACTGTGTTAAATTTTTGCATATTTAATAAAATAGTAATTTAACTTGAAACAGAAATAACTAAGAAATCACTTAATGGAAACAACTTTTAAATATGATAAAATGCTTATTGGGATGGGAATCAAATTTAAATGTTTAACTTTTACCATCAAATAGAACTGCTGCTTAAGTTTTTGATGTCTTTTGGGTTCTACCTGAAGCTGATACAGAACTTGTCAACCAAAATAAAATGCCTAATTACTTCACAAGCAACTAAACCCAGAGACTGATAAAATTTGAACTGGAACGCTCTCGCTGGATGTAGGCTGCTCGACTTCTCCGCAAACACAATATTGTCATAATTAGACTAATCTACAATCTAGCCGGCAAAAATAAAAAGAATCCTTAATGAAAGAACAATAGTCAGACTGAGTAGAGCATGGTCTACTTGATCTCCATTAAAATGGATGATGAAGAGAAATATTACATTGGGAGCGCAAACCAGACCCTTAAAGCCAGAATTTCCAAACATAAGGTAGATTTAAAAAGTGCTAGGCTCTCAACAATTCTGATGTCCTTGCTGGCTAGCGAATTTCTCCAAATCTGATTTTTGGGATATTTATTGGGAGATGTTTGAACTTAAGAAGCTGTTGTATTTGATTGTAAAAGTTAAACACTTGGTTCTGACAATGAGAAAGATGATCTCAAAAAGCATTTTATCTCATTAAAATGTTGACTCTTTTAAAGGATTTCTTAGTTACTTCTGTTTCAGGTTTAGTCGTGAAGTTGTCTGATTCAGTCTCATGATTATAATTTAATTAATAAAAGTATGATATTTTTGATATTAAGTTTTCAATAATGTATAATTTTTAATTTATATATAGTATTTGTATTTATTCTTTTTGCATTCATTAAGAAAAAGTATATAATAATAATTGTTTTCAATTAGAAAGAATAAAATATCTTATATTGGAATACTTAAAAATGGAAGATGAAGTTGATGGAAATGCTGTTGGAAATAAATCTTCTCATGTTCTAAAACAAACTTTTGACTTTGGTCCTTGGACACTTACATCTATAAAAAGTCATATTTTGCAGTCTAAATGCACTAGTGCAGATATTTGTAATGTTCTTAGACAGAACAAATCAATTGAAGATAGTAATATGGAATATTGCACTTTTTGTAGGTAAGCTGTATTTAAACTTTAATCACATTATAAATAAATTTAAAATAGTTAATAAAATAAAAATTATATTTGAAATATGAAATTCTATATTCAAATTGGTCAGATTATATGTTAAAATGTTTAGAAAACTATCTTAACTTGCCTTATTACATGATAAACTAGGAATAGTTTATTGTATTGTAGATTTGAATGCTTTACTTTAAATGTTTATCATCTTAATGGAGATTTTTATTTAGCAAAACTGGAATGTATACTACAGACATTGTTGTTTATAAATATGACACATGAAAAATATCAAAACAAAAATGTATCAGTTTTCATTGATAATTAATTAACTAATATTTAAATTATTATTTACTTTAGTGTAAGCATATAAAAAATTCAAAATAAGGTATTCAGAAAAAAATGTGCTCATTCATTATGAAGTATAATTTATTCAAAACTTAATACAAAATGATAAGACTACTTGTGTGAATAGAATAATATATTGGCAAATTAGTAATAATTTGTTGCTAAACAAGGAGTCCTCAGTATCATTTATGCTGAAGAAAGATTTTAGCAGCACAACAAACCCTAATATGAACTNTATTTTTACTACTTAAACTAATGTTTTCAACCTGATCAACAGGCCATCATCAGGTTATGAGTTTACTGGAATGTTTACAATCGTTCTATAATCAAACCAATATGCAATAACAAATTCGAATTCAAAACAGTTCAAACATTTGGTTAAAAATCAAAATATAAAATATAAATAATATAACCAATCCATTAAATACATAAACTGAATGAATCAAAATAAATAGAGAAGAACAAAATAAAATAAAATAAAATACAAATATAATAACATAAGATATAAAATTACATCAACTGCATGCTATGCATCAGATTTTACTAGCCATTATTGATCGTATATTTCCATGCCGCTGGTAAGCCTGTGTCATCCTTGTAGTTTAAACATTTGCCAGTCAAGCTGGATATATAAATTTCAAACTTTTCCAAACTTAATGCCAGAGTTGGTGAATGCACCTGTGTAACAATTCTGGCCTCAGTCCATTCAATTACTGAGCCGTCTGTTTGTGCCATTATGGATAGTGCTGTAGAATAGTGTCCCTTGCTTACGTTGTACATGTTCTCCTTAAGCCTTTTGTTGAGATTTCTGGTGGTGACACTCACATACTCTTTGTTCAAATGTAATTGATCATTTTTATATAGTATCTTGTATACTCCAGATTGTTGTTCCTTCTTGATCATATCCTTGTCATTCCTAAGCAAGTTATAAACCGTGGGAGCCCTTTTGTATAGTAATCTTGTGTTCTTGTAATCTCAATTTTTTTCATAATATTTGACATGTTTCTGTTGCATGTGAACTTAGTCACCTTGTTTTTCATATCTTTCTTTGTTTTATTTTTGCTAGGATTAGTGTAAGAACTTATTAATCCTTCAATGACTTTTGTTCCAAACCCCAACATCCTAGCCACAGCTCTAATCCTATCTAACTCTTGCAGCCTGTCATATACATTGGAGCAATAATGGAATGCCCTCCTAACTAGAACTCTAAATGCTGAAAGCTTATAAGTATATGGATCATTGGAGGTTGAAAGGATGTATAACGGGTCGTGAGTGGGCTTGATGTATACCTTCGTGTTTAAGGAACCGTTCTTGAATGAAATGTCAATGTCTAAAAAATGCACTTCCATAGTACTAATTTGCTCCAGTTTAAGTTTTAAACCATCTTTGTTGGGATTTATTTCATTCAAAAAATGCTGTAATCTTATATCATTCCTCCATAAAATGAACACATCATTCACATATCTTTTGTATAAGATTATGTTCCCCCTAAAATTCATAATCATTATCTGTTCTAGTCTGCATAACACTAACTCACAGAGTAAGCTGGACATCGGGCTGCCCATTGGAACCCCTTTCATTTGTTTATAAATTCTGCCTTTAAAGCTGAAGAATGACTGAAAACATATCAGGTTTGCAAGTAGCTCCAAGTCTTTGGGAATGGCTGACACACCTGGATTTAAACTGGATGTAAACTGCAAGGTGTCAATTAACGTGTGGTAACATGAATAAAATTTTATGGATGGATACAGACTTTCAAAGTCCATGACTGATCCAATCTCCTCATCCATTAAAGATAGGGCCTGGAGTTTATTTATTAAGTTATGTGGGTTCTTTGTAATAAAATGATCCTTTCCAATCTGTTCCAATAAATATCTATGCAGGCATTTCTCTAGCTTATACATACAGCTTATCTTTCTATCATTTCTCAACTACCGGTCTGATCTCTTTGCTCCTTTTATGTGCTTTTGCAAAGCCGAATAGTTTGGGTATACTTGGGCCTGTGATATGCGATCCTTTCAGGAAAGGGAAGCGTGAGGTAATGGGTGATCTCTCCAATTTCCTGACTTTTCTGTCTACTTTATCAACTATACTGTGATCAGCCCTTTCACACACTGTCTTCTCTATATAGTCCTCTAACGCTTTGTTGTAATGATGTTTTTTTATTAATACCAAATCCATATTTTTTTGGCCCTTATTAATATTAATTCATTATTATTTGTTATCTGCTAACCATCGTCTTGTGCATTTTATACTTTTCATTTCCAACTGCTGTGCTCTGTCTCACCTGTTTTTAAGGGTTGTTTTCCACCTGAAATAATCTTTGTCTACTTTATCTAGACTAGGGGTCCCAAAACTTTTTTCCTGTCGACCCTTTTATAGAATATTTGCCTTCTTATCGATCACCAGATTAAGTATTTAACAAAAACATTAAATCTTTAATATATAAATGGCTTGCTGTAACATTTGTAACATTAAACCATTTTTGTATTTCTGATGTTAAGCGATAAGAAGACCTGCATAACAACCCAACAAAAGAATTTATAGTTCTCATATCTTATAAAATCCACCCAATAACATTAACAGAAAAAGGAGATATTTTTTACTGACTTATAATCTTAAAAAAATAATAGCAAAATTATGGATAGATGGAAATTTTCCTGTGGTTCTTAAACTGTACGTGTCATAATACATAAAATACACAATTATCTTTGAAAACATAACATAAGTGATGTTGGATATTGGATAACATCTTACTGTCATTTTGCAACTATTACTGAATGCCTTAAAAATATGTTAACATACCTTTTATTTTTATTAAAATAGTTGATATTAGTGGGATGAATGTCTGAAGGAAAGCAGCAAGATTATTGATATGCGGTTGAAAATTGGTAAGTTTTATTCGCAAATCACCATGGTTTTTCAAGTTCAATCTGTTCCTCTGTTCTGTCAAAATTGCGTTCGTGTGGCTAAAACCAGCTTCAACCATATATGAAGTTGGGAATGCGAGTAGAAAGGTTCGGCTTCTGCTCCGAGCTTGGGATATTTAGTGGCAATATTGTTATTGCTCCAAAATTCACTGAGGTTTTTATTTTTAAACAACGCTTTTAGCTTCGAGATCTACACATATTTCAATCAGTTCATCTTCTAAGCCAGGTTCACTACCTTCATTATCTATTTTTACATCAAATGGATTAGCAAACCATTAGAGAACAAGCATATTCTCCGAGTCTTCGAAACGTGTTTTAAAGTTTTCTCTTAATTTATCAAGATGTTTAATATATATTTGCAAATCAAGGTCAGAAATTCTTTTATTTTTTTTTTTAGTACTCACAAGTTTGAAAAATTTTTTAAATCGGATTGTGCCAGTGAAGATTTAAATTTCTTCATTTTCCATGCTTGAAAGGCCATTATGATTGCTCGAGCTTAAACAATTGTAATGTTTTTCCTTGCAAACGCTTCTGTACTATATTAATGATTTTCAATATATTACGATATTTTCTCTGTAAAGGACAAAATATCTACATTTAGATATAAAATACTTAGAGTGACAACCCTACTAGAGTGTAACAGTGCAATGTATTTCTGAAGTACCAGCATTCATAACATGTTCGCAACTCTAGTACAGTTGCCAGATGCGTGAAAACAGAGTAACACATGCTTAAAGCGGCATAGGCTAAGGCAAAACTCAAGTTATAACTAGGGTAGTCAGTAATGTTGATCATATCTGTATTTTGAATTTTTATTGGAATATTCTATTCTTTTTTAGACAGTTTAATTGATCCTCTTTGGTATTAATCGACCCCCTTTTGACCCTCGTGTATTAATCGACCCCTGGAGAACTCTTATCGACCCCAAGGGGTTGGTATCGACACTTTGGGGATCCCTAATCTAGACCAACGAGCCCTTTTTCTATTTTGGCTATGATGTTCTGCCTGTCTGCAGTGTTATCAGGATCATAATTAGGACCTTTCTTCAGAAGTTTTCTAATCTCAGGTGGAAGATGGGTCTGGTCCCATAATATATATGGGGTTGGCTTTATCTTTCTATCATTCCTATTTACTTGCTTGGCACATATCCACTCTAGCTTCCTCTTGTATTTTTTCATTAAATGCAATTCCACCTGGTCTGTTAATTTGATCACATTCAAGTTAATATCTACAAGAGTATTCTTGTCTTCCAAAAATATTTGATTTTCTAGCTCTATGAACTCATTTATAGCTCTATATTTTAAACCCCTGGTATACCTGAGTGACTTATTTAAACATATTCTTTGAATTCTTCCTCTTAAGGACTTACATTCCTCGGTATCCTGATTTGAAAGATTGACATTGGATAAACCCCATTCGATTTACATTCATTCAGGAACTTCAACTTGGAATTAATCTTCACAATTTTAACAGATAACTTCCTATATTTCTTATAAAACTTGGCCGATGATGTCATTTCTACACTTCAACATACACTCAGATTCATGGAATATTATACAACATATATGTATACTTTATTATATATGTTGTATAACAGTGGTTCTCAACCAGGGGTACATGTACCCCTAGGGGTACGAGCGTAAATCGAAGGGGTACATCTAACTATCATTATAAAATGGCGTATGTTAATCAATTTGCTGTAAATTATTAACACAAGAAACAAGAAACGACAAAAACTTGCTTTAAAATATCCTAGTGTGAACATCGATTTCCCTTTTAATAGTGTAAACAACTTGTTTATCCACTTTTAGTGCCGAGTGAACCTGTAGTCTAGTAAAATTACTGTTTAACCGAGCATTAATTATAGAATAGAAAAATTTTTTTTTTCTATTCTATTATTATTGCTCGATAAGATTGGGGCTTTTCGTGTTTTTACTGGACTACTGGTATTAGAAATAACGAGGCCTGAAATGTACCCTCACCATGCAATGCGTGTCACTGCATGTGTTCATTATTTGATATTTAGCGAATTTAGACATTACATTTGTTACAAAAATTGAAAGATTCATGTATTGTTCTGCACGTTATAAATTCGCAGCCATTATTTTCAAGATCAGTACACAATTTTAATCTCTTTAACAACGTGGGAACCAAATTTTGAAAAAAATTACTGAAGACTTATCCCAACAAATATCCCATTAAATTTTGTTAGAAATTATTAAAGAATAATTTAAATTTTCTTTATTGTTAATTATAATTATTTATTTTTAGGAAATGTAATTTATGCATGTATTGAAATGACTTCTGTGATTTTATATAATATACTTATCAAATAATAATAAATAAATGTATGTAC